ATAGCATTTACATTTTATTAGGTACTGTAAGTAATCTAGAGATGATTTAACGTATATGTGAGGATGTGCATAGGTTATATGCAAATACTATGCCATTCTATACCACATAAAAGACTTGAGCATTCACAGATTTTGGTGTGGGGAGAGGTGTCCAGGAACAAATCTCCCAAGGATATCAAGGAATGACTGTTCTTTGCACAGCTTTATTAGATGATCCCCCAAAGCAGCAGTCTCAACCTTTTTGGCACCAGGGACCAGTTTCAAGGAAAACGATTTTTCCATGGACAGGGTGAGGGGGAGGGAGGAGCTCAGATGGTGAAGTGCAACCTGATTCCTAACAGGCCATGGACCGGTACTGGGCCATGGCCCAGGGGTGGGGACCATAGCCCTAAAGCATTATGAGATTTAGAGGAAATATTCTAATTGTCAGTTCACTTTTATACTAGTACATGGATGCTAGAATAGGGAATACACTTCTTAACCTGGAGGAGGACAGTATTTTGGGCATGTTGGGTGCATAGCCAGTCTTTGCAAATTAGACTTGGAATTTAGAGTAACTGGAGAATCATTGCAAGGTAAGAACAGTTTGGTTTTGTTGAGGAGCAGTGTAGCATCATGGAAAGAAGATAAGTTTTAGAGCCAGGTAGATCTGAATTTAAATTTTGTGGGACACACGTTAGCTTAGTGGTCATAGGGAAAGGATTCATCTTTCTGAGCTCAATATAATGAGGTCATATGTGGTCATAGAGTTTTTGTAAATATTGAGATAATGTATTTAAAGTTCTTAATACTATGACTGATGCAATGTGGAAGCAAAACAGTATTGGATATTATATGGAAGTATAGTAAACTATGATGTAAGAGTGTGTTTAGAACATGCTTCTTTGATCACTCAACCTTTGGTAGAACTATGTCTTCCACATCACCCTGTTTAGTTTCTTTGCTCACTAAAGCATAAGCTCCATGAGAACAGGTCCCATGTCTGTTTTGTTCACAGCTTTATCTCCAGCATCTAGAATTGTACCATGGAATAAAATAGGTGCCTACTAGTATTTCTTCAATGAATGAATGGATGATAAATAGATTGGTGCTGGAAAGGCCTGGGACATCTATTAAGAGACTTCTGTAATAGCCCAGATAAGAAAAAAAAGCGTGTACTAAGGCTGTGGCAGCAGAAAATGAGAAGAGGGGCTGGATTCCAGAGAGCTAGGAGGCAGACTGATAGGAATCGGTGCTTAACTGCCTATGGGGGAGAGGAGGAGCCATCTTCGTACACATTATCTGATGACATCCCATGTCGTCTCTCTTTCAGAGAGTTCTTCCTGCAATTCATGTTCCTGGACATCTTTGTTATGTTGAAGGCCATATGCATTTAAACTACTTCGTTTCTTTAACATTTTTTCACAAATCTTCTTTTCTTTCTCTTTAATTACTGTTATGACTCTTAACAAAGCTCTCTGCAAAATCCCAATAATAACCATATTATTGGGCTCTTTGGGCTCATGTTTGGGCCTTCACTGTCTTTACTCTGAAAGATTGATTCATTCATTGATTTAAAAAAACAATGATTAAGAGCTTATTGCTAAAAAAAGGTCAGAGTTCTTTGACTTTTGGGAACTCAAATCCATTAGTGGTGAAGTTAAATTTAAAAAAATGGATAAATGCATCAGTTTGATAACAGCTTTAACAGAAGTAAACCCTAAATTCCAAAGGAGAATACAGGAGAATTAGTCATCTGCAATTTATCATTCACAAACTGTTTAGTTTTTGCTCTAAAGCAGGTCTGATCGCATTCCTATCTTCTTGAAAACTTTTGGCCCTCCAATGCTTGAAAAGTGGAAAAAACTATATACTGTGATTTAGCTTCATTCAATTCTTTAGCCTTAACTCCTCTCACTTCTCCATTTACCATACACTGTAATAGTTAATGTTCTATAATGACACTTTTGCAAATTTGACTAATATTCTTTCCTCTCCTAGAAATGTCTGATTTCTTCCTTTTTTTAACCTTTCAAAATTATGACAATCTTTAAAGGCCCAGTTAAAATACGAGTTCCTCTGGAAAGCCAATCAAAATTTCCACCAAGTCCCCATTTTTCTTATATTTCTGTTTAAGTTCTTGTTTCATTCTCCCTTATATAGTACAGTTTTCTTTTTTTTTACATACTTGCTTCCTCATTAAATTATAAGCTACTTGAGAGCGGGGGGCCATATCTTATTCATTCTGTATTTCCACATTAGGTTTTGAATAAAGTTGGTGAAAAGACTGTTGACTCACAGCATGCTTGCCGGATCCTTGATCAGTGGCTCCCAAATAATCTTATGCAATATACGTAGTATATTCTATACATATATATATATATACATATATATAAAAATATATGTGAAATGTGAGTTGATACATGAATTATGAGAGCTATCCATACAAAGGTCAGGGGACAGCTAGTGCAAAGACCTTAGAACAAGCTCAGTATTTTCTAAAAACAGAAGACCAGAATGGGTTAAATGTAGTGGGAAAAAGGAAAAGTAATTAGAGATGAGCTCAGAGAAGAAGACAGGGACCAGATCATTTATATGCATATTTGTAGATTATGAGATGACAGAGAATGATATATTTTGTTCTAAGAATAATTGGAACCTATTAGAGAATTTTGAGCAGATAATGGTGGGATTTGACTAAAGGGAAATAAAGGAGCAAGCAAGGAAGGCATTTGAAAAACTATTGCAATAATCATGCAGTACATGATGATACCATGAACTAAATTGTTTAGAAGTGAATGATTTGAGAATACATATATTTTGGAAATTGTAGTAGATTAGATGGTGAGAGGTAATGGAAAGAGGAATGAAGGATAACTCTAGGGTGGGGTTTGTACACACAGGTACTTGGTAATGCCATTCATTTGGAGGAGTAGCAGCTTTTTGATGTGCACGGTTGCAGTCAAGAATTAAGAATTCTGCTTAAGATAGATATCTGTCAATTATTCAAGTGGAGATGTCAGGAAGATATGTGAATATAAGAGCCCAGAGTTGAGGTGGAGACATAACATTTGGGAATCGTTTGTAAATAAAAGATATTTAAAGCCATGAGATCTTTTGCAATAGTACACTTTTGAGATCTTTTAATGAGAGAATGGATGTAGAATAAAAGAGGCCAGCGATGAAACTTCAGGGTGTTACAACATTAAGAGATCTGGCAGAAGAAAAGGAGCTAGTAAAAAATTTTGACGATTAATGACCATTAAGGTAGGAAGAGAACCTAAAACATAAGGTACCCTGGAAACCAGGTTGAAGAATATGTTTCTAGAAGGAGATATAATCAACTATGCCAAGTACTGCTGAGAGACCAAGTACTGCTGAGAGATGGAGATGTGGATAAGGACAAGGATAAGAATATTGGATTTCGAAACATGAGGTTCACCGATGACCTCAATAGCAGTTTCACTGAAGCAGTCTATTTATTTTAAAAACCAAGTACTTACTTTTCATACTATGCATATATTTTAATTATGTCATAATTTGTGTATATCTTCTGAAGCTTCTTAAGACTAAAGACTAAAGTTTAGAGAAGTTAGAACTTTCTTGAGATTTTCTTTTTCTGTCTTGATATCAATAAAGATGACTTGTAGAAATTTGCTAAGCTATTCTTGAGTTTGCAAGAATAGAAACTATAAACTTCAACATAGTAATGGCTTCTTAATTTCTTTCATGTAGAGGTTTCCCTTAGTTCAGCCTTAAATTATATCATGTGAGACATCTAGCACTGCATCCTCCATCAGAATGTCTCCTCAGACCTGAAAAGTAGTACTTCCCAGTGAAATGCTTTTTTTCTTTATTTAATTGCTTTTGCATTTTATGGTTTTTAAATTGAGACTCGTTGGATTTTCTTCAGCTTTGTAAGTATAAGGTAAGTAAGTTACTCTTTATTGAAGTAGAATTTTAGGGCATAAATGCAGTTCAGCTTGTTCTCAGAAATTTTCTTAGTTGTGTGAATTTCATTTTATATTTGTGACTGTTTTTTGTCGTGCATACTGTTTTAAATAACTACTGTCTGTTTCAGACAGAGCTTGAGAATAAACTACAGCAGCAGTCAACACACGCAGCCCAGGAACTTGCAGCAGAGAGAGAGAAAATATCAGTGTTACAAAACACCTGTGAAAAAAGTCAGGAAAATCTAAAACAGCTTCAATCTGATTTCTATGGGAAAGAATCTGAACTTCTAGCCACGAGACAAGATCTTAAGGTACAGTAAACTACATAATACCATAAAAACTCAGTAGATTGTTTATAGACATTCATTAAATAATTCCTTTGAACCCAAATGGGCAAGGAAATATTAATATTTGTGGACTATGATGCTTGATTTCAATTAAATTATTATTTTGTATTAACATATTTTTAAAAAGTTTTGTAACAAAATAAGGATGTACATAAATGTGGGTATTTAAAAATGACATATCTATAACAAAATAATTTGGATGTATGTTAATTGCTGTATTAGTTTATCTAACGATTTTGCTGTCTTTGTGTGAAAATAAGTAAAGATTGCTTACTGTTAGAAAAATATAAGGAGAAAAATGCAAATAATTTTACTGTTGCTTGTTAGGCAATACTGACTTTAGTTTTATATATTTGTCAAATTCTCAAGATTACTAGAATGCCTGATTAAAATTAGGAGATTATAGCTTAAAATAAACTTAACCTTAATTATATAACAACATATACAATTTTTTTCTTTGCAAAACTATTTCATTAGATAAAGTATCATGTTTATTAAAATGAAGGGTATGGAAAAAGG